CCTCGACAAATCTGATTTCTGTCCAAATTTTTTCTCACATTTATCACATGAGTAATCTTTACGATCTTCGTGCACCATCTTTTTGTGTCTCAACAAATCTGTTTTTCTTACAAATTTCTTCTTACACTTGTCGCATAAGTAATCTTTGCGACCTTCGTGGACCATCTTTTGGTGTAAGAGCCGAGTTGATTTGTGTTCAAATTGTTTCTCGCATTTATCGCATGCAAATTTTTTTCGACCCTCGTGAACTGTCTTTTGGTGTGAGAGCAAATGCGATTTTTTTCTAAACTTCTCCTTGCACTTGTCGCATGCTAAATCTTTGTGACCGTTATGAACTACCTTTACGTGTGTGAGTAAACTCTGCTTGCTTGAAAATCTCTTCGCACATTTTTCGCATAAGTAATCTTTAAAAACTTCGTGGAATATTTTTTTGTGCTTGAGTAAATTCGATTTATTTTCAAATTTTCTCTCGCACTTGTTGCATGGATAATCTTTGCAACTTTTATGATCCAATATTTGGTGCCTACTCAAATGACTTCGGAATTCGAATGTCTTTTTGCACTTGTCACAAGCGAAATTATTTGGTTTATTGTGAATCGTGTCTCGGTGTGTTATCATACTTGATTCTAGTGTGAATGCCTCTTTACAAATATCACAAGCGTATTTTTTGTCGTCTGAAACAATATTTTCGTGTATACTAAAATTATCTTTCCGGGTAATTTCATTGGATTTTTTTTCACTTTTATCCATTATGAACCCTGAATTAAACGATAGATTATTCTATTTAGTACCACGGAAATTGAATAAATTAAATTTATCTTTTGGTATTAAGACTTATTTAATCGAAAAAGACAACATTCAAACTAGTTTGTTTGTACTGTAAATATGATCAGTTTGTCAAGAATGATGTGAAACCGTTTATTATCATTATTTGAGATTGATTTACCGATTCATGTTTATTTATTATCCATATCATATTTGAGCCAATTTAAATTTTATTTCGACAACGATTTCTTCGAGATATATCTTTCGGTTTTCTAAAACTAAAAACACAAAAATATTTACATTGTGTATTTGAAATAAAATTAATAAAATTGGTACTTAACTGATAAATAAATATCTCATATACATTTAAAATTGTTTTATTATAATAACAATTTTTATATTTATAGTTCAATATATAAGTATCCATAAATTTTTATAACTGTAGACAAAAATCAAACCCCTCATTATTTCACTGATGAATAACACAATATTCTCTAGAAAAAATGATTTAAAGCATATGTCTATATTAACTACTAGTCTTGTACTATAAATACTAGACTTATTTTTGTGCCTTTGCAAGCATTTGTCTGATTTTTGACGAAAGAGCAAAATCAATTTAATGAGAATATATTTTCTCTCGCTTGTCGCATGAGTAAACTTTGTCCTTTTCATGATCTGATTTATGATGTCCATTCAACTGGCGTTGATACACAAACTTCTTTTTGCACACATCACTTCTTAGCGATTTTCGTAGACTTTTTCGTGGATTTGTTGGTGCTTCAGCAAATGGGACTTTCTTCCGAATTTTTTTTCGCACTTATCACAAGCAAAATCTTTGCGACCTTCGTGAACCGTCTTTTTGTGTAAGGACAAAGTTGATTTTCGTCCGAATTTATTTTCGCACTTATCACAAGCCAAATCTTTGCGACCTTCGTGAACCGTCTTTTTGTGTAAGAGTAAAGCTGCTTTTACTCCAAATTTCTTCTCGCATTTGCCGCATGCGAAATCTTTACGTCTTTCGTGAACTATTTTTTGGTGCGTGAGTAAATTTGATTTTTGTCCAAATTTCTTTTTGCATTTATCGCATTCAAAATCTTTTCGACATTCATGGACTGTTCTATGGTGCTTAAACAAACCTGATTTTTCTCCAAATTTCTTCTCACATTTGTCGCATGCGAAATCTCTACGATTTTCGTGTACTTGTTTTTGGTGTGCGAGCAAATTACATTCTAGAGTAAATTTCTTCCCGCAATTGTTGCATTCATAATCTTTTCGATCTCCGTGTCCGCTCTTTTCGTGCACAAACAAATTCCATTTACTGCTATATTTCTTTTCACACTTGTCGCAAGCAAATTCTTTTAGACCTTCGTGTACTATCCTTTGGTGGTCGAGCAAATGGTTTTTACGCTTAAATTTTTTCTCGCACTTATCACAAGCATAATCTCGGCGACCTTCGTGTACTGCTTTTTGGTGCCTGAATAAATGCGCTTTTCGTCCAAATTTTTTCTCGCATTTATCGCATGCATAGTCTTGTACTGTCTTTTGGCGAGTTGGCAAGCTTGGTTTTTGTGTACATTTCTTCTCGCAGTTGTTACTTTCGTAATCTTTCCGACCTTCATAGACTTGTTTTTGATGGTTTAGCAGATGCCCTTTTTGTCCAAATTTCTTCTCGCACCTGTCACACGCGAACTTTTTGCGACCTTCATGAACGATTTTTTGATGCATAAGCAAATTCGATTTTACTCCAAATTTCTTTTCGCAGTTGTTGCAAGCGAAATCTTTTAGACCTTCGTGTATTATCCTTTGGTGATCGAGCAAATGGTTTTTACGCTTAAATTTTTTCTCGCACTTATCACAAGCATAATCTCGGCGACCTTCGTGTACTGCTTTTTGGTGCCTGAATAAATGCGCTTTTCGTCTAAATTTTTTCTCGCATTTATCGCATGCATAGTCTTGTACTGTCTTTTGGTGAGTTAGCAAGCTTGGTTTTTTTGTACATTTCTTCTCGCAGTTGTTACTTTCGTAATCTTTCCGACCTTCGTGGATTGTTTCTTTGTGCAAGAGCAAACTCTCTTTATTTCCAAATTTCTTATCACAATTGTGACATGCGTAATATTTGAAGACTTTGAAGGCGGAATCTTTCCGATCTTCGTGTACTGTCATCAGGTGATTGTCATGGGCTCCCTTTAAGTGAGTGAGTAAACTCTGCTTACTTGCAAATCTCTTTGCGCACTTTTCACATAAGTAATCTCTGAATACTTCGTGAAATATTCTTTTATGCTTGAGTAAATTCGATTTATTTTCAAATTTTCTCTCGCACTTATTACAAGTCAAATCTTCGCGATTTTTGTGTACTAATTTTTGATGCGTAAACAAACTCGATTTTTTCACAAATTTTTTCTCGCACCTATCGCATGCAAAATCTTTGTGACTCTTGTGTTCTGATATTTGGTGTCTACTCAAATGACTGCGAAACTCGAATTTTTGTTCGCACTTGTCACATGTAAAATATTTATGTTCATCGTGAATTGTTTCTCGGTGAGTTATCATGCTCGATTGTAGTGTAAATGCCTCCTGGCAAATATCACAAATGTGTTGCTTTTCGTCAGAAACAAAAATGTCTTGTTCGCTTAAATTGTCTTGAGAGAAAATTTCGGCGGATTTCTTATCGCTTTGATCCATGTTGGTAGTGTCAGAATCAAACGACGGAACTTTCTATTTTGTACCATGGAAATTAAATGAGTGAAATTTATGTTTTGGTGTTATGACTGGTTTCTTTGTTAAAGACAACTGATAAGAGTGGTAAGAAATTAAAATAAAAAGGCTCAGATTAAATTAATAATTAAAACGAGATGCTTCATTCCCTAACGTTGAGAAAACTCAACACACGACCTTACACCGCAACCGACTGAAATATCTGTGTCTCCGAACTCGGCTGAGTCTGCGCTCTAGGCATACACACTCCTGCAGTACAGCACACACGCATGCACGCGGGCAGTAGGTGACGCGCCGAAGCAACTGACTCCTAATACAACTTACAAAATAATTTGTTTTTACTACAAACACGATAATTGTATCGATGGTCGATGGCAAAATCGTTTCTGATCATATTGTTTACAATTGAGTTACCAATTTATCTGTTAATTCATTGGTCATTCAATTTTTTTTTTTTTTACAATAGTTATTTTTATAACTCTAACTGTGGTTATTTTATTCTGGAGGCGAAGAATTGAAGAAATGTTTATATAATTCATCATTATTCATGTTTAATAATTTTGTCATTGGGTAAGACTGCCTTCAATAAAATTTGTATTACACGGAGATAAAATGGATGAGATAAATCGTACACTTCAAAATACAAAATTGAAGCAATTGATTAGTTCTGATGATAGTTCACGTATAAAATTCAGAACTTATCCCACTTGTTCATTGAAAATCTGCGCAGCTGAAAATATACGTAAGCCACTGCACCCGTCACCTTTTTTTCATTCCACTCGCATAATGTATAGCAAACACAGTAGTTCTATAAGAGAGAGTGACTTTTCAATCGGCTAGGCAATACCTCGAATATAATATAATGCGTAAGTATACAAGTAAAAACGCGAGGCTAGCGACGGTCGAGCAGCACTCAAGTCAGCCGAGCGTAACCGATCTCAATGCACGCTCGGCACGAAGCTCAAAAAAGAAAAGTAAAGCTCGATCCTTTCTGCCACCCTCGCTCGAGGCTAGCCTGTCATATTGTCATATTCGCGTCGAATGTTGCGTTATAGCCATCATTACGTATGCGCGGAGCGAACAAAAGAGTAATTTTTACCCTCCGGCAGAGTATAGCAGTCTATATACCATCACGTTACAACAGCCTCATGCTTAAACAATAGCGTGACTGTCAGTGGACACGCTTGGACGTTCTTTACTCACTAAGAGGGTAAAAATTACTCTTCTGTTCGCTCCGCGTATATATTGTACATACCTGCTCTTTGGGACGTATAGTATATATAGATCGTCGCTGCCGATGTTTTAATAATAATCCATATCACGCCGTTATATAATAAAAGTCGGTGCTCACTAGGGGTGGACGCAGCTCTTTGCTTTTTAGGCCAGAGTTAAGTATATAACATATATGAATTCATACGAGACAGGTAAGGCGTGTGGATATAGATTGATTCAAATGAAACATCATGTTTTTTTCGTCATAAAAAGTTTATTAATTTATTTAAAACTTGATCGTTTCTTAAGCAGTCAGATGGAAAACGTAGGAGTAATCCAAAATATAATAGTAATTTTTTTCACAAAATTTCTATGTAAATTTTATACATTTATTGGGTGGTAATGCGTGAGTGATGCCCTATCTTGATGACAGTTTTATAACCACTCATTTGTCTCGATGTTTTATCATCTTGCGTAGTATTGACAGACGTTTTAAGATCTTTTGCATTGATCTCGTGCTTGGGTATTGCCCTCATGCAAGCTTTTGATGTGTCTGTATAGATCTTTCCTATGTTTAAATTTTTCTCCGCAGATAACGCATGCAATGTCTTCATGCTGCGTTTTAATGTGAGTTTTAAGACGATCCTTTCGAGTAAATGTCTTGCGGCACGTATTACATGCGTAAGTTATCTTATTATGCACTGCATCCATGTGGAATTTGAGACCACTCTTGAAAGCGAATTTCTTGCCACACACTTTACATTCATGGGTAATATCATTATGAACTGAATCGATGTGAACCTTGAGAGTACCTTTCAGCGTAAATATTTTGCCACATGTATTACATGCGTGAGTTATCTTATTATGCACTGCATATATGTGGACTTTGAGACCACTCTTAACCGCGAATTTCTTGCCACACACTTTACATTCATGGGTAATATCATTATGAACTGAATCGATGTGAATCTTCAGAGTATCTTTCAGCATAAATATTTTGCCACATGTATCACATGCGTGAGTTATCTTATTATGCACTGTATCCATGTGGAGTTTGAGACCACTCTTGAATGCGAATTTCTTTCCGCACACTTCGCAAGTAGGTGCCATACCTTTATGCGTCGCATTGATGTGTTTCTTGAGAGTATCTTTCATCGAAAATATTTTGCCACATGTATCACATGCGTGAGTTATCTTATTATGCACTGCATCCATGTGGAGTTTGAGACCACGCTTCAATACGAATTTCTTTCCGCACACTTCGCAAGTAGGTGCCATACCTTTATGCATTGCATCGATGTGAATTTTGAGATGTCCTTTTTGGGTGAATGTTTTTCCACACACACCACACGCATGTTTAACACCATTATGTACTGAATCGATGTGGATCTTAAGAAAATTTTTTCGTGCAAATTTTGTACCGCATATATTACATGGATATTTGGCACGATTGCGTAATTTATCATGGGTTTCACATAGACTTTTTTGAGCAAATGTTTTTTCATTTGCATCAAATGCATCACTGAGTTCACCATCCAAATTCAATTCTTCTTTTATTTCGTCGACAATTTCTTCTTTAATTTTCTTTTGAGTCTGATAATCGCAACTATTTTTCATATGCTGCAAATGATCTGGATAATCATCCTCGATTTTCTTGACTACTAATAAGTTGATGCCGAGCTTCTCGTCCTTACATTCGAATTCTACTTCGACATCGTCAGGGCCACGAGTCTAGAAAAATAATTTGAATTCAAGATTAGGGAAAATTTTTGTTAAAAATGTCAGCTATAAGCAGTGCTATATGAACACTTACAAAATTTTCTAGACATCGCAAGGATTCATCAGTGTTAGCATCATGTGTATTGCCAATTATCTGGTAATCATCAATTTCAATTGGGGAAACATCATTGGGCTCCTCCTTCACGCTGCAATATTCACATTAAAATTAAGTATAATACTAACATTTTTATAAAATATTATTCTCACGAAACAAAAATTACCTGACATCGTGTGCATTGTCAATCATCTTATAATTTTCATTTTCAATTGGAAAAAGATCATTTGGTTCCTCCTTCACTCTGCAACATTCCCAATAATATAAAGTATTGTGCCATTTTTTTTTTAAATTTCATTCGCCAGCAAATAAAAATTACCTGACATCAGAGTTATATACATCACTGAAGTCCATGTTTCTCATTTGGAGCTTGATCAACGACTAATTTTTCTGTAATGATGTTATACACATCGAACTAGGTAACTTATAGATATAATCATATTTACAAATCGTGAAATGAAAGTTTGAGAAAAATTATGTCAACAGAGACACTCTAAACTTACGATTTATTATTGGAGAAATTTTACTATTGATCTCCGGCGTAATAAACAATTAGCAATTTTCTTTGAATTTTATTACAAAGAAATTATAAATAGAAGAAAGTAATAATTTAACACTTCACGAATCGAGCTTATGATGTGTCCTAGTACAGTGAATGCACTAGAGTTGTTAGAAATTGTCGTCGTTTATGTCGGAATCACGTGCGAAATGTATATATCGCCATGACGCGGGCAATCATCTTAGACGCACCGAGAACACCTACAAATCCGCGAGTTGACGAAACTATAGCGTAGCTTATCGTAAATATGTATACCTGTATCGGGCGCGTGTTAAATAAATCAGCATATTTTTTATATAGATCTCGAGCAATTTTTCAATTTTCCATTTATCAAAGTTCTTAATATGTTCAATTGATTTTGATCAATTTCTCATTTAATGAACGATTATGTCCATACGGCGTCGATATAAAACTTCGATAACGTAAATGACGTTACCCAATCAAAGATGCGAAACTATCAATCCTCTCTGTTTTCCGAGCTGAAGATTCAGTAATATTGAAAAATCATTTTACTTACCAGTGGCCCGAAGGTAGCATTTCCCTGCCGCTACGCTAAACGGGACATTGCTATTTTCGGACCCGGGGTATGTAATAGTATATTACTGCCGTAGGCCGCGAAAAAACGTTTGCTCATAACTGACCCTACGTTTTCGGTCGATTTATAATCTGTTTTGTGCAATAATCGTGTGCTTGACTTGCATGCATTTACTATTTTAATTTTATAAGGAATTGATCAGAGCGTGCGATTCTTCTATCGATTTCATCTATTTGTTTTCAGTGGTTAATTTTATTTATAGAGCATTTTATAAAATTTTCGGCAAGGGTTTAAAATTAGGTAGTTTTGATCCCAGATGGGTTAAACTGCCACTTATTCTATTACAAAAAAATTACGAGAACCATCGAGATAAATATCTTCGGTCTAACTGAAGGAAATTCCAACGAGCCTAAACTGCTTTGGTTGCTTAACCGAACATCAACTTTAAATAGCTTCGAATTCAGACCGATGAAAAAAATGTCAAATTCAGCATAAAATTAATTCCGCAGAAAATAAATATCAAGCGTTAGTCAATTCAAAACGTTACACATTGTGTTGTGTTGTGTTTACATGAGCGCTCGACTCATCTAGAGGACGCGACGGGTATAAGAGAAAGGGGCCAAGTAGAAATTTTAGTTTTGTTCAGTACACGATATCTGCTTGTAACGAGCACAAGTGTTAAAATCATCAGCGACTGTAAATTTAAGTGTGTGGTTTAATCATGAGCGACGATTCTATTGATTACTTAGATGACGACAGCGATGACGATGGTATAATACATTTCCCCCAAAGATATAACGTTTCTTTCGAAACTAGGCGGGAAGATGAACACTTTAAAACTGACAGTGATGGACAAAATTCTGACACCGATCCCGAAGACATGGAGGAGTTTGGCCAAGTCAATTTAGCAAAACTTAAGAGCTTACGAGAAGAGTTTAATTGGGAGAACGAACAGGAGAGATATCCATTTTACCTTCGCCTTTCAAAATTGATGCGAAGTTGGAGAGGTAACCTTCCGAATCTCCGAGATATTTTTCGAGACGAAGAAATCGATTATTTTCTCTTGGAGGCTATAATAAACAGAAAAAGAACCGATAAAAATCATAGAGGACGATTTTTAGTCAAATTTGTGTTCCGCACCGGCTACAGGGACAGGCCCGAGTTAAATGAAGATGGCAAGCCGTCATTGCGTCGAACCACTGCAGTGCATTATGCGGACAGACGAGGGTTCTGTGACATCGTCCCTAACCTTTTTAAAATATACGATAGGTTCGACGTAAATTATGTCGACGAATTCGGCGTTACGCATTTTCACGTTGCCTGCAAGTACGGATGCGACGAAGTCGTCAAGAAATTCCTCGATTTCGGCCAGGATCCTAATTGCCTTGTGACAGAAACAGGCGACTCGCCACTATACCTGGCTCTGAATCAGGGCTTGTGTGCCAAGGAGATAATGGGACAGCTGCTGAAGAGAGGCGCCAATCCGAAATTGGCCAATAAGGAGGGATTGACACCTTTGCACATGATTAGCAAGAGCTGTAGGAAGTATTGCAGGTCGGGTGATGTAGTAAATATGTTTTTCGAGATCACCGATGCAAATCATCAAACGATACAGATCGATGCAAAGGACAACTTGGGTCGGACACCCCTTCAATTGGCTGTAGCGAATCTTTTACCATATGTAGTCGATGTACTCTTGGATCGTGGCGCTGATCTGTCGAGCTTCGTTTTCCCATCAGAAAATTATTTCGGTGAGCGATGGCAACGGAATATATATGATGATCGTCTTCAACTGGTGTCTTCCGTTCTGACCGTCGTCAAACGTCTTGAGAAAAGAGGGTATGAACTGGACCGAAGCGATGCCTTGACGATCATGAAGTTTTTCGATAAGTGCGGATCGTTCAAGACACTAGTCGATCTTGATGAATCTTTGAGTGGGAAAGAAAAGTACGTGAAATTGGCCAAAAATATTATGTTTATTCCTAGTCTGTCGTTCTACGATTTGATTCACTTACCATCCAAAGAAGTTGAGAAAATACTCACAGATGAGAACTTAGGCAAGTTCGTGAGTTCCAACATTGGTTTTTTTTTTCACTTAAGACGCAGTTATGAATGTGCAACGCACCTTTCCGAGATGATAGCGAGAAGATTTCTCCGACGTTGGGCACTGGAACCTCTCCTGGAGCTGACGCGCCACTGCCATTTGCCACTACTCTGCTGCGATATAATCATTAAAAAATTGACGAACCAAGATTTAATGAATATTTGCTTTGCAGTCAATGATCAAGGTGAAGACTTGAGGACAAAGGATAAGACATGGGCTTCATTATTTTACTAATTCTTTCATCCATTACAAGTCAAAAGAAACACATGTGTATTGTGTGTAGACGAAGGCTATACATGATGAACATGTAAGCTGGAATTTCTCGATAAAATACAATTAAATTTTGAACTTTCTGAACAATTTTTGGACAAGTATGAAATTGAACTTAATGAAATACATCATACATGAAAGTATAAACATTGATTCGATTTATGTAGTTATTATTAATGATTTACAATATAATATGAGTGTCAATTCGTCTTTTTAACAAAGCGGCAACTAAATATTTATAAAGTGATTGTATCACAGCTCACAAAAAAATTGAATTATTAATTACTAACTTTTGCTGCAAACACCATCAGTTAACGTTCATGTACAGTACTTATAAAGTGCATAGTTTACATTGTTCACTTCCTTTGTATTATTCACTATAAAATGTAATATCTTGTTTTACGTCGTAGTTGTGTTTGCGATTGCTTATTTTCATTAACTATGAGGACTTGTGTATAATGAGCAATTGGTAACTCTCACGTAAATAATAAATATGACTAATTATTATAAACAAGTCGACTTTTAACTGATTTTCAATATATTTTTATTTTTCAATTAAAACTGAACGATGCGCAAAAAATTGATGGAAGAATGAAATGGAAATTCGTTCGATAAATTAAGTGAAATAGATGTGGTAAAATTATGGAGGCATATCAGTAGGATTAGCATAAAGCAAATTTAGAAAGAAGCTAAATTTATTTAATATGATATTATCTACTGAATATGGTAATTTCATAATTTGTACCGATATTAACGCATTTTAATGTAATATTTTGATTGATTTAAGTATACAACATGGTACTTTTTCTGGAAGAAATATATTTATCTTTCAAATTTGATGTTGATTTTACAAATTAAAATAACATGATATAGGAAGAATACAAAATATCGTAATTAATAAAAATTATTAAACTAGTGTTGTTTGACAGTACACTAAATAGTACATCAGTGGGTCATTATTGAACATAAATTTAATATATATGTTAGGTTCTGATGCGCGAATTATGCGCAACGTCGATGTGAGCTCTGAGATTTCTTTTCTGTCCGAACGTCTAGCCGCATGTCTCGCATGAATGTATGATACCACTATGCGAGGATTTAAAATGCCTATTGAGCTGAGTTTGGTATTTATATTTTTTTTCACATAAATCACATGAATAAATGATTCCATTGTGCTCCGCATCGATATGGGCTTTAAGACTACTTTTCGCAGTAAATTTCTTTGTGCACATATCACATGGATGCGTAATTTTATAATGTATCGATTTGACGTGGCTTTTGAGATGACTTTTTTGTGAGAATGAATTTCCACAAATGTCACATGCATGTCTAACACCATTATGCACCGATACGGTGTGGGTTTTGAGGTTACCTTTTTGTGAGAATGTCATTTGGCATCTATCACATGCATGTGTGATTTTACGATGTACCGAATCGATGTGTTTTTTAAGATTACTCTTGTCTGAGAATGTCTTTTGGCATTTATCACATGGATGCGTAATTTTATGATGTATCCAATCGATGTGTTTCTTGAGACTACTCTTATCTGAGAATGTCTTTTGGCATTTATCACATGGATGCGTAATTTTATGATGTATCCAATCGATGTGTTTCTTGAGACTACTCTTATCTGAGAATGTCTTCGGGCATAAATTACACGCATTTGAAACACCATTATGCACCACATCGATGTGAGTTTTGAGAAGATTTTTTCGAGTGTATGTCTTTCCGCAAATGTCACATGTGTACGTGATTTTATAATGCACCGAATTAATGTGTTTTTTGAGACTACTCTTATCTGAGAATGTCTTTGGGCATGTGTCACATGCATATCGGACTCGATTGTGCAACGAATCGATATGCCTATTGAGATCACCTCTTTTTTTGAATACATTTCCACATATTTGACATGCGTGTGTGACATCCTTGTGGACTGTATCAATGTGGACGTTCATAAGAGTCTTTTGCCGGAATGATTTTCCGGAATAATCACATGCAGGTGTGATTCCATTATGCGCAGTAGGGCGGAACGAAAAAACACTTTTGACGCCGATCGCTTCGTAATAGTATTTTATCGAAAGTTTAAGATAAAAAAAGAGAAAAGCCGCTAGCTGGGCGCGAACAAATGATGTCTTCAGGTGGCGCATGAAGCCTGAAGTTTGAAATTCGTAAAAACAATATCTTGATGCTTCAGTATGAAATCGTTACCAAATTTTTCTGCACTGGATTGGCCGATTGGGCTGAAAGTTTCAGGGCTTGTTTTACATGTTGAAAGGAGTTTCTCTGTAAAATTTTAGCCCTCTAGGTGCCTTAGAAGCAAAGATATAGTCATAGGAAGGTTGAAAAATTACGTTACATTAATTTTTTTTTGTTCTTTTTCCATCTTCACACAGCTGTACGTTGCGTAATTTTGCTGCTATCAAAACGAACGAGTAACCAATTTCTTCGTCTTTTAAAGGCCTTTTCAACCATATAAATTTGTATAGTGTTTTTTTAACTTTTACTGAAGTTACAGTATAAAACGTCCAACATTTTGTGTCGCGCTCGAAACTACAATTGTTATTTTTTTTTCTGTTTCTTAAAAGTTACACATTCTAGACAAACTTGAACCCCAATGATAGTTATATGGCCTTAAAGAGCATAAAATTTTCTTTAATTTGGTGTATTTAAAAACTCTCTAGGTCCTCTAGAACCAAAGATACAGCTGTTTGAAGTTTTACTGAAAATGTAAGATTCGATTGTGTGATGATCATACCATATCTGGCCTATGATAGATTCACAGATTCAGTACTTTCATTTTTGGTAAAACTTCAAACAGCTGTATCTTTGGTTCTAGAGGACCTAGAGAGTTTTTAAATACACCAAATTAAAGGAAATTTTATGCTCTTTAAGGCCATATAACTATCATTGGGGTTCAAGTTTGTCTAGAATGTGTAACTTTTAAGAAACAGAAAAAAAAATAACAATTGTAGTTTCGAGCGCGACACAAAATGTTGGACGTTTTATACTGTAACTTCAGTAAAAA